AAATAAAACACTGATAAAAACACCTAGCAAGTGAATCTAACAGCTTGTGAATGGTTCTCAGCAAATACTGTTCTATCAAGATTACCGCTTAGGTTTTCATAAACAATGAAAAAAGTAAAAGCTTACGAAACAGCATTTCTTTCTATTATATTCTTGATACAAAGAAACAAAGCCTCTGTAATATCTTAACAAATCAAAACTATTTGTCTCCACAACAGAGCAAGCATAATATCCGCTAAGTAAGGCATGCATACTCATGACAAAGGTTTTACTTGGTGATCCAAACATCAAAATACAGTAATAACCCAAGCTATCTCACACCTTGGCATAATAGTGGGATGGCTCCGCATCAAACTTTCCCACATCAAAGTACACAGAGCCGCAAGATTCGTAAGCATAGCCATTGTTGATAATCTTCTCCACGTAGTCCACAATTTGAGGCACGTACTCAGACACTCTGGTTACAATGTCAGCTGGAAGAACCTGTAAGACAGAATTATTTTTTTTAATTAGCAGTGCAATTACAAAAGTAAGCTGCATGAACAGAAGACAAATGGAAAAGATACTCAAAGATCAACAGAAGTTAAGGATCACTACATGTATCATCCCTTCATAAACAATGACACTTTATATTATTTTCATTCTGCCATTCTGACAACTATCATTCTTGTAAGAAAAAATAATAATAATAATAATTAATTAATTAATTAATCTGATAAATACAAAAGTCCAAGCAATTGCAATCAACATTAATACATACATTGAGAGCATCCATGTCCTTGTTGAACTCTTCTTCAAAATGCCGTGGCAAGTCTGCGAAAATGGAATTTTCCGTGACTTCCTTCCCCTTCTCTTTGTCCAGCCATTCGCCCAGCACACTCTCAGCACTGGCCATCAGCTGATCTAGGTGCTTGCTGATTTCAGAAGCATTTCCTGAACTGGCAACACTCTGTAATGCATCTGCAGCAGTCTTCACCTAGAACAAGAAGAAAAAAAAAAGAAATTTAACAAATCTTATAGACATTACCTACTTTAACATACTCTTGAGAATGCTTGCACTAATGGGTTTTTTTCTTAACAATGAAACAGACTAGAAAGCAATCAAATTCATGATAAAACCATATATATAATACCTCCATTTTCCTGTCTTTTCAACTTAGTGAAAACCTACAAAAATTCTTCATATTTTCTCCGAGCACAAAAAAGGCAGAGGAAGAGAGAGCCAGCAAGAAATTTATTTTTCTAAAAAGCACAATAGCAGTTACCTTCTGCACTTCCTCAACCAGCATTTTAAGTTTATCTTGATCTGTTGTTGCTGCAATGATAGAATTGTGGTGTTCCACAGCAGAGAAAATGTCTTCAATCAACTTATCCTTGGAAACTTGAGACCTGAGAATTTAGAAAAGTATATCAATTCTCCTTTTCCCCCATTTTAACAAAATGTGAAGTCTGAATATTAAGAAAAATTCTAAAACTCTAAAAATCTAAAAAAAATATTTTGTACTTACTCTTTATATTTCTTGACAAGGTATCTGGTGCGAGCTCGCTTAATAATCTTGTCATCAATATCAGTGATGTTCATAACATACTTGACAGGGTATCCAAAGTAGTCCTGCATCACCCTCCGCAGGATGTCAAAGCTGACGTACGATCTGTGGACGAGAAATGTCATCAAATTCTGTTCTCCTCTGGACTAGGATACAATTTTTGTGATGATAGAAAAAAACAACCAAACACAAGAACTACCAAAGCTGAAATATAAAAACCTGGTTCTATATATGGCAACTAAATCATCAAATCCTTTGAATATGTAAGGAAAAGATATTATATCATATATTTTCTGTAGTGTACAAAATAACAATTAACTTACCTTGCATGACCCATGTGAGAATCATCATAGACTGTTGGTCCACAACTGTACCAAGTAACTACATGGTTCTGAGGTTTAAACAGCTCCTTCTTCCTAGTGATGGAGTTGTACAGGTGGAGTTTTGGAGACTCGACCCCCTCTGGGGCAGACCACTGATAATCTGGGCGCTTGGGCATCTTCAGTCAGTTTTGTCTGCAAAATCACATAAAAAATGTATATAGCAAATCAAAATAGATATCATATACATTGAAGTGTATTGCAATATATTTCCTCTAGGCATTTGAAAAATATTATTGGCATAAATGTCAGAAACCACCTGATTTTTTTTTATTGACATATTTCAATGCTCTTTTTTTTCCTCAATACTTGATGTAGTCAACTACAATCTTGGCTTACAGAGGTACAAATCCAAAATCAACATATCCTAATATTGTCTTCACCTCAATATGCATGCCATGATAGAGATGAAACTCTGGGGCACTGACTGGACTTGGGCTAAGCTGTAAGCACCATTTTCCATGATCTTTTCCATTTATTTGTGACACAATCATTCATGTCTGCAGATTATTTCTTGGTAGTGATAGTTTCAACTTTTTGTCCTCTACAAGAATACCATCATCAATTTATTCTAACTTAGTGCATCCATACAGTAAAGATTATCCACTACAATAATCAGAATAGGTCATCACAAGCCTTGTACTGAGCTTTGCAAAGTACAACCTAGTTTCACAACCTCCGCAGGGTCAATAAAAACATTCTTCCTTAGAGACAGAGAACATGATCACCATGATGAGATGAGATTATGACTGCGGCTTTATTAGTAAAAGTTAGACAACCTAAGCACAGTTGCAACGGTTAGATGGGTCAGTTCTATTTAACCGAGTCTAAGCTTTGCAGAAAAAACGCATAGAATTCACCATGACAAATGTTACTGAATCAAGGCTCTAAAATTACTTGGGAACTTTAATTATATAACTAAGAATATTTTTCCAACCAAAGACTGCATGTACTTGTGTATAACAACTTTTAACATTTAAAGGTAAACAAATATAAAAAAAACTGTGGTATCAATATTACTAAAATCCTGAACTGCTTACATCTTGCATCCTTAATAACCATAGCAAGGAACACTTACATTACACAAATGACGCCTATTGAACCTTGATGAACCAAAAATTCATCTGATGAGCCATACACAATGCATATGAAACCTTCATTTTATACATTCTTTGTCCATTATACAGTCTTTGTTCCTATAGTGCAAGGGACACCAAGCACTGAAGCACAACTAGGATATCTTACAAAGTGACCAGATTTACAGTAACCTAATGCAATGTCTAATGACTATTTTTACGGGAGTTCCGGCTGCACGTGCGCAGTGTGGAATTCTCACTCTACCCACGGCAGGGGAGAGCACACGACCAACATGCAAGAGCACCCAACGCGGAGTTTGTCCAACGCTCTCCTCTGCCGTGAATATGAGGAGGATCCAGCACCTTTGAAAACATTTCTATCTGGTTCTAGTTTGGGCAACGGTTAAGCTCGGTCCGCCTAAAGTGCGTCCGGAACCTTTTTGCGCGTCAGGTTTATTGGTTAGGACGCATTGTACAATTACCACAGGAGATCTGGATTATATTGATCATTTGATAAACACTTACAGATATATTGGACCCGTGTTTCTTTAGAAAACTGTTCCTGACGCGCATTTTTCTACCGGATGCACTTTAGGTGGACCCCAGTTAAGCTTCATTCCCACAGCCGGCGCTCCAGCAAAGGCCAGCAGCCCACCACCTCGTATATGGCAGGTAAGAGCCTGGACTGGTTTTTTACAATAAATTTTTGACAATAAATTACTCTGTAGGTCTATAAGCTCCGCCTCGAATAAGTTCCCTATTAAAAAATCTATTTGTACAATTCGCTCAAAAAAAAAAAAAACTACTGAATTCCCTTCACCCAAATAGCTAAAATAACATCTAATACAAGTTGTCCCAAGCCTAGCTACAGCAGAAACAACACCTCAACGAAAAAAAAAAAACACAATATGGAATCTGATGTAACATTCGGGATTAGCCCACCGCTGTCAAAATCCTCATGCCTCATCCATATTTCTCCCTTTTTCACTGAAAGTACACCTCAAACACCCACGACAAGGGGATATTATAACAACTTAATATAGTTAGTGTTGTAGAAATATAGAATTTATGCTGAAAACCTTCGATTTTGTGAATAAATTGAGGTAAATGAGGTTGTGCTTCTTACCGCCTCAAAGACGTGGTCCTGACTCAGCGATGTGACACTCTTTATCGCTCTTTTATGATGTGATTTTTATAGTGCATTGGGAGAGATTAAGATTATTTTATGAAGGAAGTATTTATTATTCGATGAGTCTCCTTGATTATATGATTACTGATTTTTTTTTTTAACAATACTACACGGAAATTTTTTTTAGAGCTCAACTCTTTATCGCTCTTTTATGATGTGATTTTTTATAGTGCATTGGGAGAGATTAAGTTTATTCTTTGGAGGAAGTATTATTCGATGAGTCTCCTTGATTATATGATTACTGGTTTTTTTTTTTTTTAAATACTACACCGAATTTGTTAGGCTTTTTTTTCTTACTTTATTATACAAATGGGATATTGTTTGAAAACGATATAAGGCATTTTTCTTAAGTATAATGAATATTTTCTTTAATAATTATATTTATCATTTGTTCTGTGATTTAGTTTTGTCATCTAATATATATATAATTTTGTATAATTTGTTCGTCTTTTTTCTCCTTACTTTATTATACAAATGGGATATTGTTTGAAAATGATATGAGGTATTTTTTCTTAAGTATAATGAATATATATATTTTTTTAATAATTATATTCACCATTTGTTGAGTAATTTTGTTTTGTCATTTAATATCTATATTTTTTTATGTATCATCAGTGTCTAATCCATGACCCTTTGTTTGCGTTCGAACGTCTTAAATTTCGACTTCGTATGATTTCGAATTTAAAAAATGTTAATATGCCATGATTGTTCTACAATTCTGTATTACCAAATTATCCAAAATTTAGTATGCATTGAACAAAATTCATCAGAATTGATATAAAGGATGTTTTCAGTGGCCTCAAAAAAAAGGGATACCTATAAAATATAGAACACTTTTAGCCAAATTTGACAGCCAAAAGCGCCAAATATGAACTTTTTTTTTTCCAAGACACAATCATCATTTATATCGGGGATTCCCAACTTGAGTGCGAAGTAGTATATCAGGAGTATGACAAAAAAATTACGTTTTTCCCTCAACCAGCTGAGGATATATATTGCTTTAGTAGGGGTAAATTGAGCGATATATGAACATTCTACATAATTGTTAGAACTGTCCAGGGCATTTCTCTTTATACGTTATTTAAAACTTGTTTCAGTTCTTGCCTGAGATTTATTTTTTATTTTATTATTATTATTATTTTTTGTATTCATTTCAGTGTTTTATTACTTTCTTTAGTTCTTGGCAACTTTACATGCCAACTATAAACTTTAATAACATTTTTCTTGCTTGGTTCAATTTACTCTGATTTTCCAAAGAAACAACAACAAAAAAATCCATCATTTTATTCTTTAGCATTTCAGCTTTTCCTCCTTTATTTTATTTTTTAAAATTTTATTCTCAGGTTTCTCAGAAGTCACTCGAGCTCTGTTACAACCTAACCTGTAGGAATTTGCACACTGGGACATTCAATAAATCCTTCATAATGATACCAATAAAACCATGATTTTTTTTCCTCCTTTTTATCTGTCCGTTAAATTTCGGCATGTTAGATATTGTGATACATATATATATATATATATAATATATATATATATAATATATATATATATATAATATATATATATATAATATATATATATATATAATATATATATATATAATATATATATATATAATATATATATATATAATATATATATATATATTATATATATATATATAATATATATATATATACATATATATACATATATATACATATATATACATATATATATATATAATATATATATATATATAATATATATATATATAATATATATATATATATATATATAATATATATATATATAATATATATATATATAATATATATATATATAATATATATATATATATAATATATATATATATATAATATATATATATATAATATATATATATATACATATATATACATATATATACATATATATACATATATATACATATATATACATATATATACATATATATACATATATATACATATATATACATATATATACATATATATACATATATATACATATATATACATATATATACATATATATATATATATATAATATATATATATATAATATATATATATATAATATGTATATAATTTTGTATAATTTGTTCGTCTTTTTTCTCCTTACTTTATTATACAAATGGGATATTGTTTGAAAATGATATGAGGTATTTTTCTTAAGTATAATGAATATATTTTTTTTATAATTATATTCACCATTTGTTGAGTCATTTTGTTTTGTCATCTAATATCTATAATTTTTTTTTTATGTATCATCAGTGTCTAATCCATGACCCTTTGTTTGCGTTCGAACGTCTTAAATTTCGGCTTCGTATGATTTCGAATTTATAAAATGTTAATATGCCACGATTGTTCTACAATTCTGTATTACCAAATTATCCAAAATTTAGTATGCGTTGAACAAAATTCATCAGAGTTGATATAAAGGATGTTTTCAGTGGCCTCAAAAAAAGGGGATACCTATAAAATATAGAACACTTTTAGCCAAATTTGACAGCCAAAAGCGCCAAATATGAACTTTTTTTCCCTAGACACAATCATCATTTATATCGGGGATTCCCAATTTGAGTGCGAAGTAGTATATTAGGAGTATGACGAAAAATTACGTTTTTCCCCCAAGCAACTGAGGATATATATTGCTTTAGGAGGGGTAAATTGAGCGATATATGAACATTCTATATAATTGTTAGAACTGTCCAGACATTTCTCTTTATAAGTTATTTAAAACTTGTTTCAGTTCTTGCCTGAGATTTTTTTTTTTTTTTGTATTCATTCCAGTGTTTTATTACTTTCTTTATTTCTTGGCAACTTTACATGCCAACCATAAACTTTAATAATATTTTCTTGCTTGGTTCAATTTACTCATTGATTTTCCAAAGAAACAACAACAACAAAAATCCATCATTTTATTCTTTGGCATTTCAGCTTTTCCTCCTTTATTTTATTTTTTAAAATTTTATTCTCAGGTTTCTCAGAAGTCACTCGAGCTCTGTTACAACCTAACCTGTAGGAATTTGCACACTGGGACATTCAATAAATCCTTCACAATGATACCAATAAAACCATGATTTTTTTCCTCCTTTTTATCTGTCCGTTAAATTTCGGCAAGTTAGATATTGTGACACGATTATTATGCATTAATCTTATCTAAAGTAGTTGGATTAACTGTGCTGAATACCGTCGCCAATGCACTGTTCCCCATTATCTGATATTTGCAATAGATATGTATTATTTGCAACGTTGAGAATGTTAATTCGTAGGGGTATAGCATTGCATCTTTCAGTAACAATG